AAATATATCTTAGTATTATTTCAATTATTTTCAAAGCATTTTGACTGTATTTGTAATAAAAGTATATATTGTTAAAACTATTTGTAATAAAAGTATGTACAGTTAAAGCTATGTAGTTATATGGAAAAAAAAAATGTATATATATATATATACATATATATATATATATATATATATATATATATATATATATATATATATATATATATATATATACATATATATATATATATATATATATATATATATGTATGTATATATATATATATATATATATATATATATATATATATATATATATATATATATATATATATATATATATATATATATATACATACGTGTATATATGTATATATATGATCATATATAGTTTAAACCCCCCTCAAATTGAAGGGGGTTTAACTTTATATGATCATAATTTTTGAACGCTTAAAGATAATACTATGAAACTTAAAAATTATTGATGAATATTAGTCTAGTTGAGAATAGTACAAAAAACATTTTATCAACTTGTTGCCCCATTACGTTTGGGGTGCAGATGAAGTTAAAGAGTTTTTTTATTCTAAGCCTCAAATCATCGCAATTTTTTGCAAAACATCATTATTTAATAAACACACAAATGTTTGGAGCATGCTCCATGTCTTGAGGATAGCTCAAATACCTAAAATTCCTGGATTCGTCACATAAAGTTTGCTGTCAACATTTTTTGTATATATTCATTTTATGAAAGTGACGACGTATTACGTTTCGGCATAAAATCTCACGAAAGTATTAACGTACATATTTTAATGTCAGTCTATGCAATTGCATCTCAAATGTCAAATTCGCTTATTTAAAGGTGAAATAAGAAAAGAAAAAAAAGAAAAAAAAATAAAGAATATAAAAAATTATTCTATAGATATAAAAATTAAAAAAAGTAAATGTAAAACAATGTTAAAAGATTTAAATAAGTATAGATTAAAAAAAAAAAAACAAATAAAAACATAACACAATCTAAATAAAAAAAATGTTCGAAAATAGTAAATAAAAAAGGTACGGCAATCAAACAAACTTTAAAGTCTGAGGTAGCGAGGTGGCGTGAAATATTGCGCTGTATTTGGGATGTAACATTGTTTCTCTCATCATAAAACATGACGTTTAGAGGTAAACTTTTTTTTTAGTTAGCTATTGATATGTATAAACAATCTTTTTTACATATTCTTGTGTTATTAACAGGTCAAACATCTGCTCTTGGAGAGCAAGAAAGTGGCAATTTTCTTGGAGCTCTAGACATGATTTCAAACCACAACAAAACGTTAAAAAACTATCTAGAAAACATAGCTTGTCACCAAAAAGAGGGAACTCGAATGTAGGCACACTACCTCATATGGGAATCACAGAATGAGTTCATACCTGAGTGTGCTTCATTGGTGCAGTGTGCCCTTTTAAAGGAAGTAAGAGAAGGTGGATACTTTACAGTCATTATCGATGGAACCCCAGACGTTTCACACACTGAACAGATCACTTTTATTCTTCGCTTTGTTCATTTCAGCTTCAACAAAAAAAGCTGGGAGGTAAAAGACCGTTTTTTTTGCGTTGAAGACATGAAGAAAAAAAGGAGTGGATATTGCAGAACTAATTTGTGATGTTTTAATAAAAGTAAGTCTTGACTTGCAGAAATGCCGTGGCCAAGGTTACGACAACGGCTCAAATATGGCTGGAATTTACGTTGGAGCACAAGCTTTAATTTTACAGAAAAATCCTCTATATTTATTGTGGTGCCCATAGTCCTAATTTAGCTTTACAACATGCAGTTGAATCTTGTGCTGAGATGAAGACTTTATTTGGTAATATCTAAACTCTCTATGTATTTTGCAACTGCAGTCCGGCTAGGTGGAAGAATTTGCAAGAATTGACTAGAACCTCTCTTAACAAATTTTCCGATACCAGATGGTCAGCTCAGATTGCCGCTGTTAAACCAATAGCAAAACGACCACGGAAAATAGTTACTGCCCTTAATAGTACTATAGAGGATTTTGACCTTACTGCTGACATGCTAAATCAATATGTATATATATATATATATATATATATATATATATATATATATATATATATATATATATATATATATATATATATATATATATATATATATATATTGATACAAATAGTTAAAAAGAAGATATATTATTAATAATACTAATAGTCACAAAAAGTCATGAAAAAAGATATTTAAATACAAATTTCCAATTTAAATATATGATATCATTTTCAACATATAATATATAAAGATTACATATAATATTTAAAAACACAAACAGTTAAATAGTTAGATATAATGCCTAAAAATATTTTTTTGTAAACAAAAATAAAAATTAAACTGTAAGATTTAAAACGTAAGTTTTTGTTTGACGCTGAAATGAATTTAATGATTTTACCATATTTAAATTGCTTTTTAGAAAAGAGTTGCATAGCTTAGGACCTCTATATATAGTTATACTATATTCTGTGTATTTGTTTACTTTTTTACATAACTTATATGTGTTACTTTGATTTATTCTTAAGGAATACTTCTCACTTAGATTTTTATTACATTTACTTATAGAGATTTTAGGAGTTAGATTATTGGTATATTTATGCAAAAAGTTTAGGTGTTGGTAAATATTTATCTGATATATGTTCATTATTTTCATATCCATCATTAAAGGTTTAGTGTGGTCCCCCCATATTTTGTTGTATAAAATTCTACAAGCATGTTTTTGTAAGCAAAGAATTTTTTTAAGTTTTGTTGGTTGACAACTTGCCCACGTAATATTTGCATAAGTAATGTAAAAATGAATTAAGCTGAAGTATATAAGCTTTAGACTATGTGAATTTATGTATGGGCGAATTCAATACATAATACTTACGGTTTTACTAATTTTTGATTGTATATATTTTATATGTGGGAGCCATGATAAATGATCATCTACAATAACTCCTAGAAACTTTATATTATCCTGTTTTTTAATTTGTTTATGTGTTTTGGCAGTTTTAGAGGAAGGTTTTCTTCTTGTTTTTTTTATGAATTAAGGTATATTGTGTTTGTTCAACGTTAAGAGAAAGTTTATTTTACCTGAACCAATAATTTATTTTTTCAATGTTCATGTCAGCATATAGTTGATTAATATTGCAGTTAGATAAAAATAGATTTGTATCGTCTGCAAACATGATAGTATTTAGTTTTAGTGATGCATTATTAACATCATTAACATAAATTAAAAATAAGAGCGGCCCTAGGATCGATCCTTGAGGCACTCCACACAAAATATTCAGTATTTCGGATTTCTTGTTTTGAATATATTGTTTTCAAATAGATAGATAATTTTTTATCCAATGATATAATTTATTGCATACCCCATACCATTTTAGTTTTTCTAACAAAATAAAGTGATCAACAGTGTCGAATGCCTTGGATAAATTTATGAATACTCCGAGAGTAAACTTATCACTTTCAAAACCATCAGTTATTTCGTCGACTAATTCAATAATGGTATGTTCTGTTAAATGTTGTTTTTGAAATCCGAATTGTTTTGAATTGAAAAATTTATGTAAAATAATCAAATATTCTATTATAAACTACACGTTCGAAGATTTTTGAGATAACAGAAAGTACCAATATGGGTCTATAGTTTTATATCGGCGCGATCATTATTTTTATAAATTGGATATACTCATGCTCAAGTTTAAGTATATCAGGAAATACTCCTTGTTCTAAAGATATGTTTACTATGTGGAACAAAGTTTTTGTAACGCTTTTTTTGTTATATATAAGGATATTACTTGGAATTTCATCAAACCCTGGAGATTTAATTTTTTTTAAAGAAAAATAAGCTGCGTCAAATTCAAGAAAAGTTAAGTCACTATCATACATTGTTGCATGTATTGATTTTTTTAGATGTTTTAAATGACGAAGAATTTGGTATAGTTTTGTTTGCGAGACTAATTCCAAAATTTGTAAAGTATTTATTAAACTCGTTAGTATTTTATTAGGACAAAATATATTTGACTTATTAATATTAATTCTTTGAGGTGATACTGAACTTTTTATTTGACTTCGTCCCATTATGCCATTAATTATTGACCATGTTTTCAAACTTGGAATTGCTAATTTGTTTACTCTAATACATTTTTTTTTTGTAAACTTTTTATAATACATTTTACTTGTATTTACACAATACCTTAAGTTGTTACATACTTTAGGTAAGACATGAACGGCCAATACGTTACTTATAATAAAATAGCAGTAGAACCTATTCAAAACGTTCGTTTGTATATTAAACATATATTACACTAAATTCAGACTCTATATAAACGTTTTAAAAGAAAATCTAAACGTTTTATCTACGTTTAATAATCCTATAATAGACATCAAAAAACGTTTGAGTTTTGATGTTTAGTAGAGGTTTGTTTTAAAAATTATTTTAAATTTCATTCGGAATGGATAATCAATCAAAACTAAACGTTTTGTCTAAATGTTATTTCGACATTTAATAGACGTTCCTATGTTCCTTGGGATCATTCATAGAAACATATTAAGACCTATGATGTAGGTGAAATGAAATCCATTTGGGCAAAATACCTCTGATACCGTGGTGTTTTATTTTAATAAAACACTTTTTTAAAGTAAAATTTCTTAACAACTGGGATTTTTATTTATAGGTTTGCTATCAATTTTAATATTTTATTAACTAAACAACAATTAATTGTTTGTTACAAACATTTTACTTGAGAAAAATACTGATTGGTTTCTATAGAAACATTCATACTTTGAATTAAATTGAGTTTTCAATACAAACTACAATAAGTTTATATCTTTATTTCTTATTCACAATATTAAATATTAATATAATAACAAAATATAAAAAACTTGACAATTTAAAAAGACATTTCATTAATATTTTAATTAAAATTAGTAATTCTTCCTGCAAGTTATTTCTACTTAAACACAAATTTTTCTGAGATCTTTAATACAATATAACTCTAAAACTGAAGAATGATTCGTTGTGTTGTGCTGGTAAATGTTTTGTATTTATGTTTTTTTTTTTTTTTTAATTTGAAATTATTTAAACTATAATGATTAATTAATACAAACACTTTGACTATTGGTAAAGTGTTGACTACAAAATCATTTTAAGTATTTTTTTTGAGTACATGGTCTACAGGTTTACAAGTTAACTTCGTAATGTAAAAATACATTTAAAAAAATACATAAAATAAACTAATTTGCATTTGAACAAACAATTGCTACAAAACATACTGATATTGGAGTAAAATATTAGCTCAGTTAAGAGGGTAACTTTAGCTTTAGAGGGTTACTTTAGCTGTTTTTACAGTTTTAACAAAAACTTTTTACAAATAGGTTTCTAACAACTTTCAAAAATTGCCAACAGTTTCTTTTGCAGCGAAATTTAATTAGGCGTTTTCAAGGTGTCTCTAATTTGTTACAGCTACGTAGATACCAAAAAATCGTACAACCAAAAATGCTTTTTTTCATTGTTTAAAATTTTTTACTGCCGAATTACTTAAACCCAAAAAGTTTATTTTCATTTTTAATAATAAATTTTTATAGCTTATCAATAAAATTAAACTCAAACATGTCTTTTTATGAAAGAAATATCTTACTTTTACAAGATACCCGACGGGCATTTGTTTTTAAAAGTTACATTCTAAATGTATTTTAAATGTCTTTTAAACGTTTTTTGCGTAAGAATGTTTAGAAGACGTTTAATGCCCATCGGGTAAGATCTTATAAATCAATATGAGACTACGAAAAAAAAAATTGCGAGTGTTAGTAGAATTCAATAAATACGATTGCGTATAAACCTTTTTGAAATAAAAATCAATTTACAATCAATTAAATAACCAGATTACTATGAAAATACTAATTAAAAAAAAACATGACTTTGAATTTCGTTTTTATAAATTGAATTAATACATCTAGCCATCGAATAAACTTACTGATTACTTACAGCATCGAATACTCAAAAACTCCTACCGACGATAAGCAGATATATTTACGGCTACATTACATTTACGGCTTTTGAAGAACTTAGTATGTGTGTTTTGTATTGACTTCCAGCAACTTGTTCATCATGCGTAATCTAGACAGACACATTTTAAGTCTTACAGATAAATCTATACAAAACAAAAGTTTACGAAATTGAATGAAAATTTTACAGACCTTACTATCGAGGCATGTTTAATAATACCAAAAATGTCCATGAAATCTTTCATTTTAGCATGTAAGCTGGTGACAAATGTATAAAAATGTATCTACGGACTTTGGCTCCCGTAACGAGCAGAAGGAGATCTTCCAGGAGTTGGCACAGATTGTTGAGTCATTTAACAAGGTTTTTCAACTCTAGTTGGCAAAACAGCTGATATATTAAGCAACAGAAAAGTTTTCTTTGGCAATAGCTTTTTTAGTTTATTGTGATAAATTTGAAATCGATGAAAAATTTCGGGGATTCCGTCAACAGGAACAAATGACGGCTTTTGTTGTTTCTGATACTATTGAATTACTGCAACAAATACCTGGACACCACAAAAATGTTTCTGAAAAGGGTAAGATAGCTCCACTGATGATTAAAAATGATTAAAAATGGTTAATGAATAAAGAAGAAATGCATTTATTTACTTCTCAATGCATTTCTTTAATATAGTCGTTGATGATATCTCATTCAAAGTTATTTTGAAAATATAATCATTAATACTTTGTGTTCCATTGTTGCATGAAACGCGATGGTCTGTGAAGTATAAAATCATTTGTGTTTTTAGGAAAAATTTGATGAAAAAAAATAGTAGCTTAAACGAAAAAAAGAGCTACAACTGAAAGACAACTTTAGACAAACTATTTTTGCTGTACTTGGATTTTATCATCTTTGATGAACCGTTTGCATACTTTGAAACCCTATACAGGCTCAGAATAAGCAGAGATATGCGCAATCTGATTAGTTAATTTTAAAAGAGAGGCTTTAGCGCGTATGTCAAAATCAAAACAAAAGTCAAAAAGTTTATTAAATAATTAAAGGGAAATTAAATAATCGCATAAAAAATCGAATAATAATAACAAAAAAACTTTTCTATCAAATTTTGTACAATATAGTACTTACTTTTACAAAAACTTTGCAACTCAAAACGTGATTTTCTTAATATTTTTAAAAAACAAAAATTTTAAAAATAGTTTGTTTTCCGAATGGTTTTTATAACTCTAAGACAAGAAAAACATTGTAGCAAACTATAAACCAGATAGTAAAACTTGACTATGCTATATATTTTATAACTGTTTTTTCATAACAATTGCATAATTTATCTAGTAATGTCAAAAGAATAATAATAACTTAGTATGATTAGTTTCAAATTAAGTTCCCATTTATTCAATCATTTAGCTAGAAAAATATTTTAAAAATTCCCTGATTTCTTTTATATTAATTACTCCTATATATAAACTATAAAATTTACTAAAAATTTTAAGTTTTAGAATATTAATTATTGGTTGTTATAACTAGCCCAGGCAATTTGCAACTATCTCAAATTAAAAGTAACTGTAAGCAAGAGCTGATTTGGATTATTTTAATTTTTGTTATTTTAGTAATAAAAGATAACAATATATTGTAGCATATATAACATATTATATGTTATATATAATATGTTATATATATAGGGTGACCATTGCCCCGGTTTTTACGTAAGAGAGGACAGCGCCAAATTCAGCCAAAGTCTAAAACCTTGCAATGTCCACAACACTTGTGATGTCTGCAAGTGTGTTTTTATATATTGAATTGATTACCAAAAAGAATAGCTTTTAAGTTATCAAGCCTTTATGAAGAACTAAGTCTAAAAAGGTAGAAACAAAAAAAAATGTTTTTGATATATAACATGTTTTTGATATATAGCTGTTAACCTGAACAAAAAATTGGTTATTTTATTCTATAATTAGTAAAAAAATGTTTACCCCCTAATAGCAGCTGATGGTAAATAATATAAAATTAAAATGTTGCTTTATTTAATATGTAAATATATATTATTAAATAAAGCAACAAACTTTGAAATATTTTATGTTTTTTATGCTATAAATTAATTTTACATTAAATACTCCTAAAAGAAAAAAAAATCTAGAAAAAAGGAAAAAAATAAATAAATAAAATACCTTCTATATTTCCAAACTTTATGAAAAATTTCATTTTATAACTTTTGGTATAACCAATAAAATCAAGTGTGCTTTTTTTAAATTTTTGTGAATATTTCTTGTATAATGATATAAAAATATTTTATACTCTTTGCTAGCTTGTAATATCAAAGCTCATATGTAACTGCACAAAAGAACTGTTTAGTAGAAAAACAAATAAATATCACTTCTTCTGTTATATTTTCAAAAAGATTATATTGTTATCTACTTGAAAATTTAACAGAAGAAGTGATGTTTATTTGTTTTTCTACTGAAGTAACGGTTTTTCTACTACAGTGGCGCCAATTGCATTTTTTGGTCTTTGAGATAACTAACTTCCAGACATGGAGCAAACTCCAAACATTTATATGTTTATACTTATTTTAAATAAGGATGCTTTGCAAAAAAGCCCTAAAATTTTTGTCCCCTTTCTGCCCCAAACTTGAATTTTTTGTACTGTTTTTAACTAGATTTATATTCATCGATAAATTTTAAGTTTCATAGTAAAATATTTTAGCGTTCAAATTTATGACCATATAAAGTTTAAACCCCTCTCAATTTGAAAGGGATGCAGATTTTATATGGCCATTCTTTTTGAACGCTGAGAGATCATAATATGAAACTTAAAACTTATCAATGAATATAAGTCTAGTCTTGCAAAGTATCGTTATTTGACATAAGTATAAACATATAAATGTTTGGAGTTTGCTCCGTGTCTGGAAGTTAGCTATCTTAAAGATCAAAAAATGCAATTGGCGCCACTGGATTATGTAATAAAAAAAAGCATACCTCCTCCAAACTAAAGGCCGTTTTCCACAAGACGAAATATTCGCGCGAAACGAATTTTTTCGTCGAAGAGCATGCGCAGATTAAACATTTTTCGCTACGTCAGCGAAAAAAAAGTCGGATTTATTTCGACTTTTTGCGAATCGACTTAAGCGAATACCAATTAAGTTTTGAATATTATATCACGTGATGTCAACAGTAAAAAAAAGCGAAATCATGTTGTTTTTAAAGTAACAAAAAAAAAATTCTTAACCTGGCGTTATTATTAATTTTATATGAAGTTACTCTGAAAATTGGCAAGCATGAGTAAACTCATCAAATAAGGAGCAAGACTTATATAAAAAAATGACAAGACTTATATATAAAACTGAATCGAGAGTTTACAAATATAAATTTTCACACTGTCAATTACGAAAGTTACACTTCATAAGAGTGTTTATCTTCAATTGGCCACACAAAGATAAACCTTTTTGTGTAAAACCCTAAATAGAGTTAAGGCTGCTGTTCGTTCCTTGCAGTAACAGTTTTTAATAGAAATGATCATATCAGAGTTTATCATTTATTTTCTTATACTTTTTTGTAAAAAAAACCTTATATTAAATGATTATTTTACAAAATGATATCACATCTTACATATAGAGACAGAAATGTTATTATTAATGCACGGAAAGAAATTTTCACATGCTTCAAAGTAGAAAGTATGCTAAAAAAGTAATAACTGTCTTTAGTTAAACATACAGCGTAAACTTATGCCATTTTTACTGCCATTTTTATTGTTTACAACGAAAAAAAAGTAGCGCGAAAAAAAGTAAAACAGCGTTTCGTCATAGCGAAAAAATTCGCTTCGCGCGAATATTTCGTCTTGTGGAAAATGGCCTTCAAGGTTGAAACAAAACATGAAAAAAGTCTCCTTAGAGTTTATATATTGAAATGGAACATATAAGCTAGTTTTGCAATCAGCACAAATTTCTTTAAAAAACTCTAATGTTTAACTCTTTATAATTACCATATAAATCAATTTATAAACAAAGTTTTTCACCAATAGTCTGGTAAAACTGCAG